CAGGTAAATCCATCGAATGTTGTTGAAACAAACGTAAACAGTGATCGACCTGAAAATGTTGTATCACAAATAACCTCTAATGAAGCATCAACTCAGTACAGTGTGAGTGATGATTCAACGAATAGCCCTATCCAAGAATCTCCAAATATTAATATTATCAAYGATGTGGAGGCGAGTACTAATGTACCATATAAGCCAGAAGGTCCTAATGAAATAAATCAAGATTCAAATACTGAAACTGAATTATATGCAACTCAGTCACCTACAGAAAAAAATATATTAAACATCAACCCTACTGTTGATGGAAAACCATCCGAAACCCCGCAGAATGCTCATACGCCATTCGTATCAAAAACGCCTGATTACATTATAGATATAACAACATCAGGTTATAGTGAATCATCGAATCCCCAGGAACCGAACATAACGAACGAACCAGTTGATTCTGTAAATGAAGTAACGACATATAGTGTTGACAAAAATAATGACGCGGTAACAGAACAATATGAAAACGTACAACCAGGAGTTCCAGGAGAGGGAAGCTGTTTGATCGATTTTGTGACTTATGCACATAAAGCTGAAGTTCCAAAATCTAATCCATGTCATGAAAAATGCGAGTGTTTAAATAGTATAGTCACTTGTACTTCTGTAAACTGCCCACCTGCACCACCTCAACATAGAAATTGTATACCTTTACACCCAGGAAACGAATCGTGGTGTTGCCCAACATATATGTGTGGTAAGCAATTAAATGACAATATATATAATTTTTTATGTGTTCGATTTGTTTAAATATTTTGAGCATCATCAAACTGAATTATACAATATTAGTTATAAATAAAATTTACCTTATCATTTTTATTTTACAGAAGGAGGCATAGAAGGAATGTTATTTGATAGTCATAATCAACTTGGTTCTCCTCAATTAATATCCACTGTGATATTAGAAGATAAGCCTGGTGAAGTAAATGATGAAAAAACGCATACTGACGAGGAAATTTCAAGCACTTCCAATCCTCAAATTTCACAAGAATACAACACATTAGCACCATCACAATTGGATTCGAACTCTAATATAAATTCTGAAGATAGTGTTAGTGTGACCGAAGTTTCAGAACATACTGAAATCCCATATAAACCTATGGAAGATGTTGTATCTACAGATAGTGAAAAGGATGCACCAGTAACAACTATTTATTCTGAAACAATAGACAACGAAAAACCTGTAAGTAGTAATCCGTCATTGGAAAACGAAACACCAGTCGATAGTGATAAACCAGAAGAATATGAAAAACTGGAAGAAAACATTAAACCAACTGAAAGTGATCATCTAACAGAAAATAATAAACCGACTGAAATCAATCATCCAATTAAAAACCAAAACCCAACGGAAAATTCTGAGGACGATTCTACAACGATATCTTACGTAACCGATGACGTATCAGTGACGAATAAACCAGAGACAATAAATAATATTGAAAAACAGAATTTATTAATCAACACGATTAACGAATCCCAARACCTAGTACCGTCGACCCAATTACCTGAGAACTATGAACCTGCAGTAACAAATGTAATTCCTACAAGTGATCAAAATAGACCAGAGCAAAACTCCGAATCCGACATATCGATAACCGCCACTACATATAAGCCTGGCGATTCTGCTTTAGATCAACAACAAGTGAATACTGATAATAAAGCAAGCGAAGTAGATAATAATCCGTCCACCAATGAAGATTCCAACATGAAACCCGTCGACGGAGTAATTGATTTGTCCGTGAGTGAAATTAATCCTTTAGAAGTAGGAACTCAAGTACCCACGGTTGTAGCAGACGAAAAACCTATGATTTCTGATAATAACGTCGGTAGTTTGAGACCAACAAGTATCGATGATATCATTWCGTCGGTTTACTTGGTTAAGGACGCAGTTAAAAACTCGTTAGAAACATCATCGAAACCTACTGAAACCTCGGACCAACCCATTGGATTATTCGAAGACAACAATCAACCAACAATCGTGCCAGAAAATYCTCCACAGGATCAATACAATAACGAACCTCAAACGACTGTGAGTAGTGTTAATGCTCCGCCAGAATCACAACAAACAGATGTAGTGAACGAAATGTCACCAGAAATCCCCTCAGCTACGACGGGATCAAACGTTTTGCCATCTTTCGAAAACACCGCTGATGGAGTAGTGGAAGCTACCCAAATTCCAAACATTTCGCCACAGTCTGAAGTAAATTTTGCCAACCAAGAAGTATCGACCGATTTACCTTCTAAGTATCCTCTAGTTGAAACGGCAGTTGACGATAGTAAAACTCCGATAAAATCTCCGACAACGCAACACTTGCCGAGTTCCGGTGAGCAGGACTTGACAAACGATAACGAACCGGAATCTCCTATCGATTCAATTCTTCCCCATAGTCAGAACGCTGCTAAACCAATTATCAACTCACCGGAAATAGCTGTGGTGCTCAATGACAACAAAACGCTCGAGATCAGTTCACCATCGTCTGAACATCATGAGGGGCCTGTGGAAGAYACAGCTGCAGTAGACAAGCCTGTCGCAGAAATGAAACCAGATGACGCGAATAGTCAGAATACACCCGATTTGGATGTGCCAGCGGAAGTTCCATCACAAGTAGCGGTGACCGGTCGGCCAGAAGCCAATACTCCAGACGACAATGACAATAGGTTCAGCGAACTAAGCAGTTCATCGTTCCGTCCACCTAACCAAGGAGGAAACGTCAATAGCCACTTTAATGGAAATCCTCGGCCGGAAACCGTTGGTGCTGTACACATACCTCTTGACACGGAACTATCTRCGTTCAACCCTTCTACAAACGCTCCGCTTGCAACTTACCCCCAGAAGCCTTCGCACACACCAATTCCGCAGTCTACGTGGACTCAAAAACCATTCTACCAAGAATCTACCTCCGAAGCGCCATCACAACCAGATCAAGGTTTCCCCGACGAGTACGACGATGATAACGATGCATCTTACGGGTCAGGTACATGCAGGTAAGTCATGACTTTTAATTTTCTTATAATTCAATTTATTAGCAAGAAATACTATTCAATGACTGTGTTGTAGTCGAATGACCATTTATAATTTATTATAATCATTAAATCTCAAATATACAACACAATAATTCATTCGAAATTGATTTTTTCTACCATTTACTTATTTGTATCTATTTAATTATTTCTACTTTTTGAGATACTTCGTTATTGATTTTTGCTTTTGTTGACATTTTGATAGTAATTACTTTTCTTTGTTAATTTTTTTCTTGTTTAAAATATTTAATAAATCCTATAAAATTAATTCTTAGTATCAACATCTGACRTTTATAAAATAGAAGGGATAGTAAAAATAAATAAGCATMGGGGCGTGAAAATTATTCCGAATGCGTTTTCGAGTTACGCACATTGATTGATATCGACTTTTAAAAAAAGTTAAATATATATTTATACATACTAATGGTATTTAAAAAATTATTGAAACAGATACAGTGGCAAGATATACGTGTCTGCCCAGCAAGTACCCAGGGACGACCCGTGCGATTTCTGTTTCTGTTTCCGAGGCGACATAATTTGCCTGCAACAGAGCTGCCCGCCGCCAATATTTGGGTGTTACCAAGAGAACATACAAGGTTTCTGTTGTCCACGTTACGAGTGTCCGGTGGCCCAGGCTACGTCCGTTAACGTGACCACGTCTACCACTTCAACCACGACCGTAGTGCCACCACATTTCTTCGCCAACGCTTACCGAGGGGCGGCCAGGCGTACCGGGTGCCTTATCCATGGACACGCTTACCGAGTGGGTGAAGACGTGGGAATAGCTTCTGGTCCTTGTCTCGAGTGCATGTGAGTACCTATATCTAAATACAAATAGGTCAAATATTTCCGTTTTCGTCATCTTGACATATGCTAAAAATTATTGGAGTGAGTCTAAATAAAATAATATTGATATTATTTATATGGTATGATAATAGTATAATACCTACATTACTGTTGACAGACTGCATGGTTTAAAAAAATTTTAAAAATACAAAAAAATATTTCTACTCGTTTTGCAAAAATGATTATTTACTATTGTTATGTATTATTAATATAAATAATAACATAAACGTATTATATAGACATTTATTGTTAACAGTATAAATCGTAATGACGTWCATTATATATTTTCTACTCGCTAATAACCGATGGACAGTCCCCACCGATCGTAATATGATACTTATGCTTATGATTATTGTTAGTATAAATAGTATAGATGTAATATCATATAATATAAATGATGAATATGCAACATATTTTTCCTTAAAAAAAAATATGAATAATATTTTGTGTATTAATTAATCACTAGGTTAGTGTGTTAGTAAGTTTAATTACATTAATATTATAATCACTTGGAGAATATTGCTGAGGTGGTTTTCTAGATCTAATTGGTCTGGATGTTTTATTTAATATTATAGTATCAGGATTTTGTTTTGCACCTACTGTTTCGATATTTTCAGTATTTTCATTTATTTGTCTAGTGGGTGTAAGTGAAAYTGAATTATTCGCTGGTGTCAGCGATTTATCAATGAGTAATTGATCATTGTGTCTCTTCCAAATAGTTCCGTCATCGAGCTCTACATCGTATGTATTACAACTAATGGATTTGATAATTTTACCCTTTTTCCATTTATTGTTATTATTCCTATAATCTCTAGCTAAAACATTATCACCTGTATTAAATGATACTATCCTATTACCACCGACCACTATTGTTTATTTGTCGTTCAATAACCACTTCACTTGTATTCGGCATTAACGCGTCAAATTGTAAACGTGTTGATCGACCTAACATTAGCTTAGTTGGCGTTTCTCGTGTTATTGAATGAGGTGTATTACGATACATCAAAAGAAATTTATATAATTGGGATTGTGCAGTCGAGTATTTAAAAAAAAAATTTGTATTGTTTTGATTGCTGATTTCGCACAGCCGTTTGATTCTGGGTGAAATGGAGCGCTTGTCATATGCCTTATAGGTACCTAGATTTTTGCAATATGCTTGAAATTCAAAACCTGTGAAAAATTTTGCACCATCTGATGTAATTGTTTTTGGAATTCCAAATCATGCTATCGTTTCTGAAAATTTTTGAATAACAATTTATTTTCTGAGACAAGGCATCGTTTATAACATCTGTGTGTTTTGTTAGTGTGTGTAAACCATTTTCGTCTAACCTGTGACACAAATATTCAATTGACTTTTGCATAAATTTGCATTTATTCAACTTTACTCTTAAACCTGYATTTGACAATACATTTAGTAATTTGTYTAAACGAGCATTGTGCTTTGTGATAGTGGAACCTGCAACAATAATGTCATCTTGGAATATACCTATGCCTCAAGACCTGCTGTGGAAGTTTYCATAGCTTTTTGAAACTCCCCTGCTGRCGACTTTATTCCAAAAGGGTTACGTGTATAGCTAAATAAATCTTTATGTGTGTTATTAGTGGTATATTAGCGATCAAATTSTTTAATAACCATTTGTTGGTATGCGTCTTTTAAATCTATTTTCGAAAAATATTTTGAACCACTAATATTTGCATATGAATGTTCTATTTTTGGAAGAGGGTATTCAGTCTCTTCTAATACCGGATTTATTGTTATTTTAAAATCACCGCAAATTCTAACCGTGCCGTCTGGTTTTAATATTGGTACTATTGGAGTTGCCCATTCGCTGTGGTCGATGTATTATCAGACTTTTGACTTTTCTTCCCCTCACTCTTGGTTTATATTTCTGCACGTTTTCTTGGTAATAGAACCTGCGTATTAGTAAGTCATGAAATAAATATGATTGGTTATAATTTTATAGTTCATATGTACAGGGTGTTCCAAATTTCATGTGACAGCAGATTTCAGCATGATATATTTAAATTAGGGAAAAATTACCTATGTGAAAACCTTTTTGAATTATATAATCTATACTAATTTGATTTTAAATATTTTTTTTATTAATTAGGATGGGTAGTTTTGAGGGGTAACTTTTAAACTTCAAATGGAAACCATATTTTTAAAATATGATTCGTGTTCAGATTAATTTTTAATGGATTTTGACGAGTTGTTTACATTAATGTGTTAATAATTGAAGGAACTATGGACATCTGAATATTGCCGTTAATTTATAAAATGTCAACAGTAAATAGTATTAAAAGTGCTACCGTTGTACGACCTTAATAATCTGGGTATCGAATTATCAATTTTTTACAGTATACAGTAGTCAGTACGGAACGTATATGGTATATCCGTATATCGTTTTATATTATAACCAATTACAGATTATTTTTATTTATGATGCAATTGCATTTCTTATCTAAGAAACGAAGAGTTTAGAATTTTAGATTTTAATATCATGTTCAATCCACGGTCCAAGACTGTGCCGACTGTGATATAATCTAAGACCKCGATAATAGTGTTTTGTGATATCAAATTATTTTATCCATGATAATATTATAATATTTTATAATCTTAAAATTATTTAATGTTTTCAAAATACTAAAATATTAGCTAGTRCCAATTACCCGTTATTCGTTAACGAATTAATTTGATGAATTAAAATACCACTGAAAAACTTGTAGTTATTAAATTAATAAAAGAAAAAAATTCTAACATGTGGTTGTTTGTTGATAATCCGATAATTGATAACACTTGTCACTTCTTACCTTAGAGTAATAAAACTTATTTATAATTATTATTATTATTATTATTGTTCTTACTTTATAATTTTTATATGTCAGTTAAAAACTTAAAACTTAAAAATTAAATTAAAATTAATTTCTAATTATTTCATTATTTCAATCAAGTTGATAATTTTAAGTTATTATAGTTAGTGCGTTTGAATTATTGTCAACTGGTTATCGTCAAGAAATATTTGCATTTGTTTTAAACTGACTAAAGTACTTTATACAACTTTATATCTCTTGTTTGGACCATAGAAAAATTATATTTTTATTCATCACCATCATTATTTAAAATTTGAGAATATGTATAGTTTAATTATCTATCAATTTGTAAATACCTTCAATGTCATATTAAATTATGTTAGTATAATAATTTACTAACGCAAGATAGATAATATCTACTTATAATATGTACTTATTATTGTATTTTGGTTTTTTCCCAAASTGAAAAATTTCTTTCATTCGTGGCCTGGGGCCTTAGGTAGKCACCTAGGTACTATAAATATCTTGCGTTCTGGCCAAAAAGGTGCTAAATAATATGACACTGAATACAATAATCATGTTTAATTATATTGGTAATTGGTATGTCATCATAGAATGCTTAATCCAGTTTTATATTCTGAGTGGTAATGTTAATACATTTATTGATAATATATAGGCTATAGGTAGTCCTATACATTATATTATATTACAATATACAATTTTATACCACTAGATAAGATATTGATATAACCCTAATATTTATTGGGGATTTTGAAGACTAACGATTCTTTACATTTCAACTTATAATCTTATTTAATGGAATTTTTAAATTCTTGAAATGTAGATGACACCTTGTTAGATTTTTAATGGAAGATTTACTTATTTTACATATAATATTACCCACTATTAATTTTACTGGAGATGATTCATATTCTTCTATTGTAAGTCATATATATATATATCATACCTATCTAATATTTCAAATTTTAAATTAGCTTTATTATCTCAATTCAATGTGTATTCTTTGTTTATTTAATCTTTATTTAGCCCATTGATTTAAATTAAAATTGTTATTGGATATGATCCATTTTCTTAGTTTGAATTTTGACAACATATTATGTAAAAATCACGAAAATTCGTAAATTATTTTATGCTAGAAATTCATAAAAAATGTTTTCTTTTTACATCTAAGATTTGAAAATGTTTAATAATCTATAATATATCTTACACAGATAAACCGTCTACGCTCAGAATCGTTTTTCGTATACAATGATATATAATATCATTGGATTCAAATTTAATTCCATCCATTACTAACCCACTTGTAACCTACTGTACAGCAAAGCGACATCCATGACTTACCCGCTTTATTTTGGTATTGCAGATGCGGTGCCGACGGCAARATGAAATGCGATCCTAAGCCTTGCAGTCCAGAGCCTTTGCTTAGAAAAATGATGGCCGAAGCGATCGACCAAAAGAGGAGATGAATAAGAAGGAAAAAAA